GAATCCAGGACGCGCGTTTTGTCTTATTTGAGGCTCATCAGCTGGATGTGCCTGCATCTCAGGCAATATCGAGGCAGTCTGCACGAAATGCATATATGCCAACAAGAGACTGAATAACTGCAGTCCTAAATAACAATGGGAAGATATAAGTAAACAACATCAAGTGAATTTATTTACGTATGTCTGATACAATGTTTGTATACGATTGTCATATAACGAAGCGTTAAAGTAATTAGATTTAAGATGAGTTTCTACACAAAACAATGAAAGATTATTTAACTAAATTTATGTTGAAAGGAAAACCTAATTATTTCACTGAACTGAATTTAGCTATGTAAGATTTATGAATGTAATAACACTTAATCAATGAAAAAAACTAGTTTCCATGATTTCAAGTAGCATAGTGTGAAAACAAGATGTACGAAAAGTTATCAATTTACTATAAAGCAAACAATAATTTGAATAAAATTGTTTATTATGTTAAAAAAAACTGCAAATAATTACTGTATTAATTATTGGTAGCTGTTTGAGTTGTGGCATCTTTTCAGTTGTTTTAATGTACAAAAATAGTGGATAGTGATTCAGTAAAATGATGTAAAGCATTTTAAATAGTAAAAGATTTTTTTTCCTATTATTTTATATGAATCCCGGTAAAAATTGTATATTTATTTACTATAAAGTAATTTGTGAATTTTTGAAACATGCGATTAAACGATATAGTAAGATTCGGTAATTATGAAAATTTCAACCCGTAAATACCTCAACTTCCTCTAATTTTTATCGTTTTAAATCAGTTTCTATAGCAAATTTCATATAGATAAATATAGAACTAAACAAATCCATGTAGAAATCTTCCACATATTTATAACAAAGTGATATGTTTCAAACGAACGTGTTATTACTGTCAGAATAAATGATTAAATTTTATCTGTAATAAAGTCTGTGAACGAAGTAACTGATTATATTATTTGACCGTTAACTATACATTAGTATAAGTTATTCAAAGGTAGATAGATATCTTTCCGACGTCACTTTCGTTTGCATCTATGAATTTGCACCTACCTAAGGCAGAAAATTTATAGGAAGGACTGAGAGAAGGGTATCTACTAGTATTCCTAATAGGTTTCTAGAAACCTATAGTCGAAAGGGAGTAAAGCCTTCACAAGTGTAGTGGTCAAACACCTTTTGAATATTCAACATAAAGTGAATGTATGTGATGGATTCAAAATAGTAAACAGACAAAAAACACCGATCATAACCCGTTTACCACAGGCAGTCGCTACCAAACGTTTCCGGCTTGACCCATATATACAGAAAAAAAATGTGACTAAACGTTTTTTGCTATGGTGACTGATTGTTTATCAAATAACTCGTATTAACCTGCTTTTTTCAACCCTCTATCATTTTATCTCCTTCAGGTATTTATGTCTTACACAATCTTGTTGATATTCACAAATCTATTAATTTTATTTTCTAGAATGTTGAGTGATTACCCAATCATTTTGTCGATTGTATAACCTCGTTTATCATGGTTAACATTACAAGTAATTTTAGCACCTATTCTACTCTAAAACATAGATTTTAACTATGTTTACTCATGCACTGTACCCTATCCCTCTAATTATTATATCAGATAAGTTTAAAGATTATTCTAAATATTTGTTTGGAGTATTAAAGACTGTATATACGTATTATGTAAATCCTTATTAATTCCTTATAATTAATGTACCTTGCCTCAGCATATTGCTTTCTTTTACACTTGCTCCATTTACATTTAGAAAGAGATTTAATTCTATGATATTTATCACTAAACAAAACACCTTTCAAGACATAATAACATGGTTCACAGAAAACCATGTTAACCGTTTTGTAGTGATAATGATCACTGTTTACAATCATAGTATATAGATATTATTTCAGTTACAAAAGAAATAAATATTGCACTTACATAACGGCCAGTAATTAAATCCTGAAACAAAAAAAACAATCCATTTTACGCATGGCAGAAGTTGTTTTAACAAAAAACAAACTTGAACAAGGATATTCTGAAAATGAAGAAAAATGTCCTTTCAGATAAAGATTAATGTTTTCAGTTATAGTTTTGCTATCTACTATGAAATTTGTGATCAAATTTATCACAAACTGAGATGATCTTGATGTATTTTAAACTGACGGGAAATACAAATTAAAGTGATACTATGATCATTCCAATGAATAAAATCAATGTTACAATCCTGTCACGAATTTGGTTGTAACAGCACGCACTGCACCCTGAATGTTAAGAAAACCAGTTCGAGATGGAAATTACTTTCAAACAGACAAATATCTTGCAGAAAGAATTATGTTAAGGGATTTTTATCGCATTTTCATAATTTAAAAATAATTATCAATATTCGTGTAGATAATGCTGATCAAGATATTTGATTAGGATGGTTCAGCGCTCTTTGCAATTCCGTTTAGAGTTAGTGTGGGAATGATCTTTATTTTGGTGGAGCTACAAATCTGCACCACCATTTTAATGTTGGTGATTACCAGTATTAAGAAGGTCATAAAAATAGCTATTAAACAAGTTGGTAGATTGATTACTCTCTCTGCAGACAAGAAACAAACATTCCCTTACAGATGCTAATTGAAGCGGATTGGATTAAATGTTTTATGCATGAATGATGTTCTCAGTTTTTACTAGTGCAAGTATATTTCCAACAACAGATTCAAATTCCACGAACCGACTAAATTTCAGGCTGCGTCATTAGTTCATTCATATATGATCGAAGAAAACAGGATACTTCTACTACATACTAGTGTTGATGTCACTCTGAAACTGAACAATTGTGGAAATACTCCGATGCGAGACGGACAGATATTTTGTTGACCAAAGATCTTATCCACAAACATTTATTTTAGCACAAGAAATCAATTTAAGAAAATGTAAATTAGCTTCATTCCTACAGCCAATTAAATGATTTACACAGTAAGTAATGAGGCGTTTTGATAAAAAATCTGCATTGTCTGTTTTAGATTAATGTTCCCAATATAATCGTAATAAATAATGCCGTCAATATATCAGTGAACTGCAAAAAACCAAATATTTAAGTGTATGGTTTGTAGGAAAAATTTATTCTCGATGTGACTTTACGTCATGCATTTCTCCATGGTTTTAGTGTTTTAGGGAGAAATATAACCATGTTATCAGCGTTGAAAAAATAATATCACTTTATCCCATCGACCAAAAATGTAATATATTCATTTCTCATTTCATCCGATGCTGAAGTAATTAAAATGAGACAAACCCCCTGATTTTAATTATCAATCTTCATTCGATATGACAAACATTATTTAGTTTTCATCGATTGATTATTTGTTAGGTCCACAGCAATCAAAATAACATATTCATAACGGTCAACGGTATAATGCAATTTACTATCAGTTCTACCTTAGAAAATTTGATAGAAGCTCTCATTTTGATATAAGGTAATTCACTGTACATTCAGAGTACCCTGATTCAACCCATCGATATTTGTGGTGAAGTACAGTTGAATTCTGGTCTTACCGCAAATTTCATTTTTAATGGTAAATTTCTGTCAGTTAGGTAGTTTAAGGATAGCATTAGGTTGGCTGTCAGGTCTAATTCCACTCGAAAACTGCAGGTTGTATAAAATCCCCATATGTGCGCCTTCTCGAATATTAGCTATATTTTATTCCATAAGTCAATAGAAGGTTTTCACTCATACGTATTTTACTGTTTAGCTTATTGTATAATCCGATCATTTAGAGAAATTCATTTGAAATCTTTGAGGTTCGTACGACATGTAACTCAAAAGTATTTCAATTGTAGTCAAGCTGCAATAATGATAAAATAGCTTTTCGGAGACTGAACTTTTTATTACAAAATGCATCGAGAACCAATTATTATATGTAGTGATAAGCTTTCACAACAGCATTTCAATACATATATATGGACACAGAAAAAAATCAGAAACATAGGTTTAAAAACTAATTTGAAGGCCATAGGAAACGTTACTAATATATTGTGATAACTTACTGTAAAGCAGTTGTGTGCTCCACACCGAAAAATGCTAACATTGATTTATTTTTTTGATTGCTCATCATTATCGTAAGGACCCTCTGCGAAACTGGGATATCTGTGATGTGGGTAGCGAAATCTGGGTCGGGTGAACATGAAGTTTTCTTCTCCAGGATACATCATTTCGTTGTTCGGATTATAAAACCTTTTCCAATATACCATTCGTTTGTCAGCAGTGGGGCCATTGGGCGAACTATGGTCTTTAAGTACTTCTGTTCTTACGAAGCAATGTAAAAATAAAACTAAAATGAACGCAATTGAAATCATCTTAAGAACTTAGATAAAAAAATCTAGACTAAGCACACATTCAGACTTATATATAAGCGCATTGGTTGAACACATATATCTGATTGGATAATTGTTGATACAGTAAACAGCTAACTTCCGTTTTAAATAAACATGAAAACGCTTTGTGAATATTTTCAGTACTTGAATAAAATTAAACATGGAAATAAGTTTAGAAAATTTATAAGCATTGTACATGTAGTTTGTATATGGATTAAAAAGTGCGGGAATTGTCTAGCGTACGTTACTAATTCCTCGTGATGAGGAGTAAAGTATGTCGCTTATTTCTTGTACTAGTTGTTCTGTAACTTTTAATGACAAGAAAATCTGGTTTAGGTAATACGAGTATGAAAAGTGGCATATTTACAAATTTTATTGCATACAGAATCAGCCCTACAAGTGAACACACATATTCGAATTAGCAAGGTTTTTTGCGTAAATGGATTTACAACGCACTAACTTAAAATCGATAGGTGGGTTAATTTTAACTTTGTTGGATTGTGGGGGCTTGTTGCAGCATCCAGAATTGCTGAAGTCGTGACATATGTTTTTGACATTGAAAGCCGGGAAGTATCCAAAGATTTGGCTTAATATGGTTATTGCCTGGATGCCGTAAATCAAAATTCTCTTAATGCAAAAATCTTGTCTCACTCATAAAACAGACACGGTGAGTGAAGATGGAGTGGATGAAGTATGTTCGTTTTTTCTGGCTGTCATAGTGCTTGTTGAGTTGTGATCATATACTCCTGTCTCAGGTTCTTTCAACGTATTTCTGCAATATTGTTATTGTTACAATAATTCATTGAAAGCATATTCCTTTTTATATTTAGTTACATACGACCTGACTTACACCGATGTATGCCTTGTCTTGTTTCATACACTCTCCATCCATATTCTCTAGGTTGAACCGTGTCGTGCCGTCTTCTGACTCAGAGTAAGAGTCTGATTGACTTGCGTTCATCGCTTGAAATTGTTTACTCAGTTAGGTTCATAAAACTCGTCGGCCAGAATAAATTAGGCTTGTACTATACATACTAAACCACAGTATCATGGGAAAACATTGGAAGCAATCAGACCAGGGTATTGAACATTTTATGGTGTTACTGGCTTTGAACTAGGCTTATTGAAAATTGCTTATTTGTTGTGTGCGAGGTGCTCACAATCTAAATTTGGGAATTTTCGCCAAAATAAATCCATGTAGGTCGTATTGACCACAATAAACTCCTAACTGTAGTTTAGTATTTCTCAGCTTTCGTCTTCACACTTCATCTTAACACCAAGCTATACTCTGCGTTTTTTCCACTTGGATTATCAGTCATTTCTCGTGTTTTAGACGCTTTATTTATTTAAACCCACTCCATAGCACTTTTTCTTCATTTATTTTTATTATTCTGGTCTTTTACTCCATACTACTTTCGGTATCGTTATACCTTCCCTCTTGTTGATCGTTCACTTCGTTACAGATGATACAGCAATTTTTGTATATCCATATCTATACGTAGTCTTGGTCTGTTTATTCTCCACTGATTTGTTCTTATCGTTCTGATTAAAGGTTATTTATGGGATAAAAATTCATGAGGCCTTAAGGTAGATGTTATCTATCAGTGTCGCTCTTAGATTGTAAACTACGATCACTGCCATGGGCTGTAGATCGTGCTTTAACGGATGTCACTCGAACTCTCTTTCTGTTCAAATGATATGATCTTGCTTTTATCGTTCAAGTCTGCACTAGTCAGTTTTTTGTCGTTTGTAACCCTAATACTGGCAAGTTTTTCCGTAAACTTTGGATGAAGGTTTTATCAAATATATTGTTAACATAAAAAAATAATACACCGACAAACTAATCGGTTTCGTGACCTTGCATCCATTAAGAGTAGTAAGTTAATGTCAACTATTACTGTCTCATGTGATCTAACAAATGGTCGATTCACCCTACTTTGTGTTTCCTATATATTTATTAACTCCGCTGGTCAAATAGAACGGTTAATAATACGTTATAAGCTACTGGTTCCAAGTTCTTGAAATCAAGCTGGTTTTATCCTCTAACCAATCTGTCGAAAACAGTTTTAAACGGAAACATTATATAACTTAAAAAGGCGTTCTTCAGTGGCCTGGAAAGGACTACATCTCTAATATATTTATGTCTGATTGCTTAAGAACCATAGAAAAACACTGTCTTTTGCAATAAACATTAATTACAGTGGGATGGTATCCATGGTTGATAACCAGATTATATCAACCTTGGACCTTGCACAAATACATATCAGCCTAAGTTGTCACACTACATGGGGACAGCATAAGAAACTCAACAAGGAAAAAAACCTACGTTACTTACTTAACTTACTTAAATCTAAACAAGTTTATGGACTATCTGGATATGCCTAGAATGTTTCGTACACTCGAAGTACAAAGAAATGTTCCTCTACATCGATATTTAGTTTGTACTGTACGTAGGCAACGGGTGTGTTGGTTCGCCACATTAGTCATGTATAGTTTTGTATATTTAGCATTTAACCACGAATCCCTGTGTGAAGGTTATTTTAATTAAATTGGTCAAAATCTATTGAACCTGAAACTTGATTAAAATGCAAAGACCCTAATGACTACGCACTTGGAAATCAGTAATAGTATCAGGGCTATGGTATTACGTAAAAGTGTTCAGTCGTATGAATAAGGCATTTCTGACAGGGCTTACAGGTTCCATAACGCCTATGTTGGTTTGCTTGTATGGTTAACACATAGTAGTTTGTTGAAAAGTTAGTGGAGGCCTAATAGTAATATATCTCTGTACAAAGATGCAGGCTTCGTCAATGAAACCAGTATAGAAGTTTTACTCTGTCGTTGTAGATTTAATATAATATGGTTCAATTCCGACCAGTGTTGCATATATAACCCCAAACCTTGGGTGCCACACTATTTTATGCCTTCATTCTTCAACCCTTTTATTTTTAAAATTCTAATGATAATAACGTCACAATAGATTATTATATATTCCTCTCACTAAACTGTTTTTATTTGGGACTTAGTATCCCATATCCTTGTTCTCTTGTGTTTAATTGATTCGAACTTTAGTGAAGCTTGTGATCTTTAGGGTAGATTCTTCTCTCATTTATTGTTTAGTCAGTTGATGGCTAGTCTGTTTTATCTGGACATTTTCCTGACGTTTCCAGGTGTGATTGTTTCTGTGTACCACTCCGTTATGCTTTTTACATAATAAATCAGTAGTGCATAAAAAGTGATTATAGCTATCCTTTCTATGAGCTTCTTTTGATCGATCCCAATCTTGACCTTAATGGTTATCTTTGATATAATGTCTTAGGTTTTTCCGTTGCACCTTATGTCATTAAAAGTTATTTGTTTATCTTTCAGATTACTGGTAGAGTTAAGCACTTGAAATGTGGCTAAGTGGCTTCCAGCTTAATCGTGATTAAAATCTCAACCTGTAAATTGATTATTTAAAGTTTGGTCTAAAATTGATCATGAACTTATTCCAAGTATTAAAGCATTGAAGGTTAGTTTAAAGCAACCTTGTGGTGTGCTCGAAACTGATGAGGTGATTTTATTTGAAAGAACAACATTTTTAGAGGTCGCTTGCCAATCTGTCTTTCCACATTCTGATCTACATAGGTAAGTGATCAGTATTCAGTTCTCATAATGACTTCATAATTTTGATTTGAAAAGATAGGCAACGTTGTGAAACAATTCAAACTCTCGTGTAGTAAAGTTTCAGCGAATTTGATGAAGATCGCATCGCACAATCAGTACGTTGCTGCATTTATTGACGTTTTCACATCTAATACATAGATTATCGTAGTGTGCTCTGATTTATTCGTCGGTATGTTTGTGAAGTTCACATTATTTCTTAGCTGCATCGTTTATTACTATTCGTAATCTACATTAAGCAGTTTTCTTTGTACTACATAAGTGTGTGAGTTTATTTGCGCGGTTGCAATCTGCGCAACCTAAGCCTTTGATTCACAGCCAAACAATTCAAATCATTGGATAATTGCAGCTTCACATTATAGTTTACTAAGCTTATGCAATTTTTTGGGGTTGGATCGCTAACCTGTAATATAAATAACAGTAGTGACGTGATGGACGACATGCATACAATTACAAGTACGATCATAACCGGCATTGTTTTTATCAAGTGTCATGCTTAGAAATTTTCCAATACGAACCATTAATTTCAGTGGTTGAGATCATGAGTCAAATGATTCTTTGTAAAGGAAGGAACATCTCATGCTTCACTTTTATGGGTTCAATGAAATAAACTTGGATTTTGTGAACAATATTCCTTATCTAAACAGTTATCAGAAGCATTAAATTTACAGTAACTGGTGAAATTAAGTTTTGTACCTTATCCACCTTTCAGTCAATGTACATCTACTGACTGTATCTGGATTTTAATAATCATGTTCTACGTTTTATGCATAAGTTGAACTCTAGATATCAAATGTAAAGCCCATGTGAAATGTCACCGACCGTTTATTGCATGTAACTATGTTGATTAATTCCGTTTATAACTAGTCGGAAACATTTAGATTGTAACGTGTTTGTGCTCTTTACGGACAGTATGGAATTCGGCAACTTGTTTCGTCGATTTAAACTTCACAACGTATACTAAGAGATTGTGGATTATTTCTAGTTTCTCTAACCGTCCCTAATTTTGTCATAATTACAAATTTTGTAAATAATCACAAGTAAATGTCAAGTAAAAAGAATCTTTGTTTAATTATAAGTAGTTAAATAGTTATTTTTTAACTGAATCCTATCTGATGTAATTTGGCTATATGTTGGTTGTTTTAATTTAACACTTATCGAAACCCTTCAATGTCCTTCGCAACTTTGCTGATTATTCGAAATGCACGTAAACACTTCGAATATTTAAAAAAATAGAACAACCACACTCGGCAATAATTAGTTGAGTTTAGACAATTGCTCGGATCGCTTGATCGTATAACTCTCAGTACAACACTACTTTCCAATGCAAGATGCTAACATTATTGTATTAAAGACTTGTTTTCACTTAAAACGCAACTATTACAATTTGTTTTACTGTTTTATTTTGATCCCACTAATTGCGTTATACACCTCCGAGAAATTATAACGATGAACAGGGGAACGCTCCATCTCTTTCGTTGTTGTAATACCACTGAACGGGACTTTTTCCAGGTGCATGCATTAATTATACTATTTTCACGCTTGCTTGTTATCGCTCATTCTTTAATGTTGTCCAATTGTTATCTTAATATTTAGCTCTTAAAAATGTTTGACGGAATGCTCATCATTTATCATAAATTTTTAGAATTGTTCATTTTTATCGAATAACATAAAACTCACGTCTTGACCTAAATTCCCATGATTAAAATAATTTCAAGATAATTTAAGTGATGTGTATATTGTAATTTGCGAATAGATTTTCAAGAGTTATTTTTTTAAAATAATTTTTCTGTAAATTCCTATAAAAGTTTGATTGTAAAATTAATTATCACTGTTCACTTTTTATTACATTAACAAATAAGCATCGTGTCCACTTGAGACATTAATGTACGAAAGACGCAAAACATAGAGATGGTTGCTCTAGATTGTCCAAATACTGGATTATCTCGATGTTAGTCAATAAATCATATCGTTTGAAATTTTTTTTATCCCAGGCTTCTGTAAACTGAATCTCCCGTATTTTTGGGCACATTACAAAACGTTACGGCTTTACGTAGTAGACATTTAACGATTACTGATAAGTATATTAACATAGGCATAGTCTTCTCAAGGGGTTTTATCGTACACAATGAAAACTTCTGTATACAAATTTGATAATTCCTAACTACTTTTGGAATCACGGGTTCACAACAATAATCCATAAGTAAACCAACCCAATCAACAACTAACTTGTTTTAAAATAACAGTCTATTTGGTAAAATTAATATTTTTGCTGTGGACTACTCCAAACCTTTTGTGATTGTTTAATCTAGTTTGTTAAGAAACTACTGTGTAAATTAAGTCAAACAGCGAGCGTTGATATGCTGTATGATTAGACATTTTACAGCAGTTAGGAAAGTCTACATTTCATCGCCCTTTATGGCTGACACAAACTCCAAGTGGATTATGCAATCAACTACTGAAATTAGAATTGGAATATTCGTGAACCGCTCCTTTGTAAACTCTCTTGCCCGAGTTCAGTAGTCATCTGAAATTGGCAACGTTAATTGGGAATAAAATCCTTGGAAACGACGAGGCAAATTGCCTTCAACAGAAACCTCATGAACATCACTACAGTAGTAAACTACGATCAAGCACCTACATTTGAATGATAGCTTATTTAAGGAAATCTGCAGAGGAACTCGATCCGCGCCCAGTGAATTTCAAAAATTTTCTGATACAATAAGTTTGGTTGCAATAGACTTTCGAGATTCAATCAAGAGCTGTGATTGTGGTTGAAGTAGTCATTCACTGCTCTTTAAATGTTCAGAAGACCAGTTCGAGATGGAAATTACTTTCAAACAGACAAATATCTTGCAGAAAGAATTATGTTAAGGGATTTTTATCGCATTTTCATAATTTAAAAATAATTATCAATATTCGTGTAGATAATGCTGATCAAGATATTTGATTAGGAAGGTTCAGCGCTCTTTGCAATTCCGTTTAGAGTTAGTGTGGGAATGATCTTTATTTTGGTGGAGCTACAAATCTGCACCACCATTTTAATGTTGGTGATTACCAGTATTAAGAAGGTCATAAAAATAGCTATTAAACCAGTTAGTCTACACCTACCAACATGGCTCAGTCCACTTGTCAGTGAATTCATGGTTTTGTGCCATGTTTTGGTCTGGCCTCCCCTAGCTTTCTTCCAACCTACTCCTACACCACAAAACATAGCACGTCGGGGCAGTCGGTGGTCGGGCATGCGCAGCACATGTCCTCAATGGATTTGCCATCCTTACCTAGTACCCGTTTCATAACAACTGCATTACTTACTCGGTGGTCCCAGGATATACGAGCAATGTTTCGAAGACAACTATGGTCAAATACTAGTAACCTACGAATATCCTCTACTCTTACTGGCCATGTTTCACTGCCATAAAGTAGGACGGAACGAACTGCTGCGCAGTAAACACGTCCTTTGGTTGATAGACGGATATCTCGCCTACGCCACAAATGACGCAAGTTGGCAAAATCTAGTCGAGCCTTCTGTATCCGTGCTGAGATTTCGTCACACACCAGACCACAAGTGCTGATGAAACTTCCCAGATAAGTGAAGCGGTCGACACGCTCAACTTCCTCACTCCCTATCACTAGTTCGGGTGTCGACGCAACCCAATCCTGAAGCAACGTTTTGCATTTCGAGGGAGAGGATCGCATGCCGAACATGCTTGCATTGTTGCTTAGAGTAGTCAGAAGACTGTATTTTGTCAGCGTATCACCAAATAGAACTATGTCACCGGCATATTCTAGGTCAGAAAGTGAATTTCCCGGTAGAATTTCAACCCTTAGATAAGGAAAGTATTATCTCTAAAAGCACGTCAACGACAAATTTAGACTAGAATGGAGAGAGTGGACATCCCTGACGAACACCATTTGAGGTAATCAGTTCTAATGACAGTTCGCCATAAGCTCTCACTCGACCACTTGTGTTCGAGTAGAGAGCATTTATAAGGTTAATGTATTTCTTCGGTACTCCTTTCAGTAAGAAACACTGCCATAGAACCTTACGATCAACAGAGTTTAATGCCGCCTTAAGGCCGAGAAATAATACTATTGTGGGGCGTTTGAATGTGTGTCTATGTTCTTGGACCTGGCGTAGTGTGAATATCTGGTCTATATAACCACGTTCAGATCGAAAACCAGACTGATGTTCTCTAGAATGCTCTTCACGAGCTTTGGTTAGGCGTCGAAGTAATATTGAAGCCAATATTTTAGACACTATATTAGTCAAACTGACTCCTTTGTGATTGCCTCAAGAGGACTTTTGTCCTTTCAATCAATGATTGAGACCAGTTAGATGGGATTACGTCCAGTTCCCAGGTTCTACCTAAGACCTCAGTCAATCTCGCTGCTAATACTGGACCACCATCCTTAAAAATCTCAGGAGTAAACCTGTCAAGGCAGAGACTTATATTAGCCATCAACCGGATATTTTATGCAGCCCAACTTGTCATTATCGGAAAGACAAGGTCTATGTTTCACCAAAAGCCCAAACAGCACGTAAGCGATTGTCACATCTCATTGTGTCTGTCATGATTACATACCAAAATGGCTGCAGAAGCAAGTGAATTCCAGTGGTCAGATAAGATCACAGGATAGACAGATACCACCCTCCATTCCGAAACATATGGTTGGGACTGGTCATAATGTTGACATCAAATCAGCATTTGTAGTGTTGTACAAAAGCCTTCAAGTATGTACACTAAGGTTTATTGAGGCGTTGGCTATACGGAAACTGAAACCCCCTTTATGCGTTTGAAAACATTTTGCCCTTAATCTAGCCTGGCAATACTGATTTATTATTCAGAGTGGTTATCACATTATTTTTGTGTACTTTCTTTTCTTTGTTACGGCTTACATTTAATCTGTCTAGTTGACATTTTTGTTTTCATATAAAAATGTCTCAACAAGTATATGTGTGATGTATTGCGCAAATAAGCCACATGATTCTGATAAACTTCGTCTTCTCATTGCATCATCGAAATTTATCAAAGGGACTAATTGTTTCAAATAATATTTCACATTTAAATTTATTCTGTGGTGCACAATGTGTTGGGAGATAAACAAGACAGAGACCAAATTTCTTGTGTCCAACATTGCAAATTACACTATTTTTACTGATGATAAATAGAGTGAATATCTGCCTTATACATCCGTACAGTTTATGTCTAGTTCTTTCCTATCTATTTAAAAAAGTGAAAGAGTTAACTGATATTCATTTTAGATACATATTTCATTTTGATGTTTTGTCGCTATAAGTTTGACATGTAATGTAATTGGATAGTGTAAACATGGTAAGTATTTAATTGATAGAACGACCAAAGACAGGATGAATGAACCAAATTTGTTAAGGCAGTGGAATATATGATGCACAGAAATACCCACATTACAGAAGTAGTTACCTTGTGTACTTTGATATACATAGTAAGCTCTGAAAGTATAACAAGTCGCAAAGATATTAAATGTCTCGTAACGGAATAGATATTCCAGTATATGTTAAGTTGTTCGTTCAAAAAGTATATTTACGATAGGATGTATTGTTTATTTATGTAACTCAGATAATGCATCAAGTAAGTTAGCTTGTGAAACAAAATCTTGTCTTGCAATTTGAGCCTTCTGCTTAGCTAATTCCAATAAATTTTCTAGATCAGCACCGCTGAAATTTCAAGAAAGAAGAAATGTGTTGTTGAGGCAAAAGAGTATACATTTTTATCTTGGAAAAGAAAGCTTGCAAGGATATATTCTAACTCATTATTTCCCTTAATACATCAATATTGAAAGTGTTGGACTGATGCTTATGGTGCGAACAGAATACTGGATCACAAACAAACAGGAAATGTTGGCTGTACCTTAGTCTGCTCGTTTTGTCGCTATTGATATGCTGTCCGAGATGCGGATGATTAAAAATAATACGAATGAAGTGATTGACAGTCGGGTGTATTATTTTCTAGTTTCGAAGTATGCGTTGTTGTAAAATAAATCTGAAGCACGATTTCTGTAACGACCATATGAGTAAATTATCACATTATAATCTTGCATTGTTGCTCAAGATGCTAAGGAAACCAATGGATTTTTCTCTGTTGTTATGTTGCATAGATCATATAAGTCAAATGACAGAACCTTAGGGTAATAGGTTAGTGTGAACGCTTCTTACGTAACTGATCTTTAGTCTTATTGATGTAAGTAAAGTAACAGTGTGAACTTATCAATTACATATAACCAAATACAATGACAAACAGCTTTTTTAGTAAAAGGAAATGATAATCCGTTTAAACTCATTACGAACACATCGAAAATGTCTAGATAGTTGGAGATTTGGTGTAAATTGTATTGATTGCAACTCCTGTTCACGAGGGCTTTTAAATTGGAAAGTGGTAAATGATAAACATTCTGGATTTATAAACACAACATGACTATTCGCTAGAATAGACTATGTTAGATTACTTTAAAACGAATAAAATTGGAAAATATCTCGTAAAAATCACGAGATTAGTTTCATGAAATTTAAATACCTCATTCTCTCAGTGCGTGAATCATTTGCAATGAGTTCAAGTGACAGCATACCATTCTCAATACGAGGAGTGGTTGCAGACCGAGTACAAGCTGATAAGACAGAGAGACGTTCTTTCACACTAGACGGTGGGTTGATCATCAAATGTAAGCCCAGACGTCCAGGACGAAGTATGGCAGGATCAATCATTTCTTTGCGATTAGTAGCACCAACAACAAAAACGCGACCTGATCTATGTTTGTCAATACCATCCAATTCAACCAGAAGCTGATTAACCAAACTAACTCGACTGCCTAAGTGAAGACAGAATATCGGGATAAACAATAAAAATGAAATCATAATTTTAAAAAGGAAGGTTGCAGTGAAATCTATTGAGAATAACTTTTAAAATGTAATCAGTTTATACGTCACAAATCAATGACACAGTTTCATGCTCTATCACAAAATCTTTATCTGTACTTGATAACATGGTACGAAATTTCGTTGTTTCTAATTGGTTATTGAGTTCATTTGAAATCATTTACAATCGATGTTCAAAGTTATTATAAACTACAATGACACTAACAACAATCTCACAGTTTGTGAACTATTGAAAAACACAAACCAACAAAAATAAAAAAAGCACCAAAATATAAACCTGAAATTAAGCAAGAACATCTACATTGATCACTGACTGATTACGTTTTCCCTTATTTAAAGGATTATTAGAGATTTTAGTATTGGATCCTTTTATTTATTTAAACACAAGCAGGCACCAAATATATTTGCGCCACACTTCGTCACTCGATTTGTACGAGGGCTGGAATACTACCTGAGCGCCTAAACCGAAACAGAATTGGATCCTTTGGATTGGATTGTCGAATTCTGAAGTTTTATTCAACTGTCTTAACATCATCGACACATACTATAGAGGAAAGTGAGTTTTTAGAATTTCTTGACTGGTACTTAAAAGCTTGTTTTGTAAACACAGGATTTAGTTGGTTGTTGGTCATAATTGTGCCTTCACTGTTCCCATGTATTTATTTTATTCACCTTTTCCTCTGACCTGACCCTTCGGCTCTTAATCGATTATAATTCTCGAAGTACGTAGTTATGTTGTGTAGAAAGACTGTGAAAGTTCCGTCACTACTATCTAAAACAAAAAAGGTGAAATATTCCAAAAATCCTTCTTCCTGTGTTAGAAACCTTTATCTACCTAAAATAAATGATTAAAATTTGATGCATTTGCACAAATTTAATCCATATCAAATAAAACATTTGAATACCAGTTTAAAATAGTTTGTGATTATTAAAAAAATAATATCTACATACAATTTGAGTGGTTGTTGTACCAAAGTTCAGTAACCCTAGAGTTTTTTCCGATTTGCTTAAAGGTCGGCAGAAAGTCTTTAGATAGAAATATATAACAATCTGAAGAGTTGGTAATCATTTATACATTATATTTGATATGAAACGTAAGAGTTTTATTCAAATTTATTATCTAGATAGAATCAAGTACAGAATAATTAGGAACCATTTAATTTTAAGATAATATTATTCCGATTAGATTTTTTGATTATTGGAAATTAGTTTTTTCATTAACTCGTAAAGTAAAATCAGTCTAACGAAACTATATTCTATAGCCAAATCGAGAATACGAGATATACTACTGTGGTGTGTGCTACTTATATTGACATAAGTAGTATATGACATTAGACAGGAACAGAATGTCTGGTAGCAGAGAGACAAGAGGATCGAACAGTAAAGAATGGAAACAGAATGCAATTTGTATGAAAATGCAAGAACAATGAAGTCTGAGTCATTTTGAGACAATTGATGGATATTTTGCAAATTAAAAACTTACTATATTATGGTTAGATTTTATTAACAGGTCCTGTAATTTTGTGTGAAATACACTCGATTGTTCCCCATTGGTATTCTGTTCACTACACAATAACCAGGAAATATTTGAAAGTAATTTGTTACAACTTTATACTCTCACACTTATGTCAAGTACTTCGAAATACACTGAAGGTGTTTATCATTGAGGTAATAAAATTACTTTCATTCATATTTAAAATTAGACGTACCAAGTCAAAAAACTTATGAACAAGCAAGAAACAAACCGCCAACATTCAGGATTTATACTAAAAGCTAAACAAAAAAAGTTTTCAATAATTCGGTCGCAAATACATGAATGATCAAATCGAAGCATAACCGAAGTCGATACAAGTGATTGTTAGTATGTGTCAACAGCTCATCCAGAATGACAAAAATTGAGCAGCAATGAAATTGACGGAACTTTCCAGGGAATAGACGAAAGTGATGAACACTATCACTCGTCTTTTAACTAGCATGTTGTAGCTCAGTGATTTAAGTAGTTAACTCGTCCGAATGTCGCTCTATCAACTTTGTGTTTCCAAGTTAGTAGTAGCAAAAAGTGCATAAAATGAGTAAATATGTATTTGTTCATTGCCATATTAATTATTATTTTACTAAGACTGTTATGATAGTGAATGATCTAGATGTTCCTAGTCTCGGACAATTGTTGATTGAAACCTCGAATGTTTAAATGACTAAATTACACAACGTCAAGCTCAAGATTCATACGCAAAGAAAGAAATACTTCCTGTTTATTTAATAAAACTTCGGGCGAAACCTCATAATTCAAATTTACTAGGAAAGATTGGGGAAACATGTTCTGTTATAATCAAAAAATGTCTACCAAAAATTGAATATTCGGTTACCTGTAGATTCATCACTATCGCGTCTTGGACAGATTGCATCTATTTCATCGAAGAAAATAAGACATGGTTGACAAGCACGTGCTCTTTCAAAGATTTCTCGAATACGACGTTCGCTTTCACCTTGGAATTTATTAAGCACTTCTGGACCTTTAACCGACAGGAAATTGAGACCAGCTTGATTGGATAGGGCTTTAGCTACGAGTGTTTTCCCGCATCCAGGTGGACCCTCAAGTAGTACACCTCCAGAACGTCGATGCAAAACCTGAGCACGTTCCCAATCGTCGATTAGAAGCTATATATATACATAACAGGAATTAGTTACATATTTGCTAATTAGGTAGTGATATATAAGAGGGATACAGTTAACTTTTATACAGTTTTCAGTTACGAGCTAAAGTTAATTAAATGATACGAAAATTTAGAGATTAAAATTTTATCAGTCAGTTACAACGTAGGACCAGGCACATACATGCATCGGTCCAAGTTGCCATACCGCATTAGCACAACAAGATGAAAACCGGATCCATAGGAGCAATTAAGTCAATGGTGGTAATAAATAAAAGAAAGACTGCATATAAACATATAGTACAGGAAGAAAGATTTAGTACGTAGAAAGATATGAAGCGATTTTAATCTCTTAGTTTAGAGGAAGACAGAGACTGTATACAGCGAAGCCATTGTGATCGATTCTGTGCCATGTCATTAAGAGCCTCCAACCATTGGTTACGATAGTCACGCGGACCCCAACCAAGTAGTCTGCATCTGCCAACATGCCTCAGACTAGAAGTTAGTGACTTCATTGACTGATACCACGTTTTGGTTTGGCCGACCCCAACTTCCTTCCAACCAATCCCAACACAAGTCAGCGTTGCGCGTTGTGGTAGTCGGTGTTCAAACATACGTAACACGTGGCCCAACTATCTCAGTTGATGAAGATTCATAACCTCATCAACTGATTTACCATCGTTCCCTAATTCCCTGCATCTAACTTCACTATTACTTACCCGGTGATTCCAGCAGATGCGAGCAAAATTACTGAGACATCTGTGGTCAAATACTAGTAGCTTACGAGTATCTTCTACTCTTAATGGCCATGTTTCGCATCTAGAAAGTAGAACAGAGTGAACTACCTCGCAGTATACTCGTCTCTTAATTGATAGACGGATATCTCGCCTTCGCCATAGATGACGTAAGTTGGCAAAGCCAAACGAGCTCTTCGAAGCCGTGCTGAGATTTCGTCAGACACCAACCCATTAGGGCTGATCAGACTTCCTAGATAAGTGAAGTCGTCAACGCGTTCTACTTCACTCCCTATCCTTAGTTCAGGTGTTCACGCAGACCAGTCCTGAAGCAACAACTTGCATTTAGGGGGAGAGAAGCGCATCCCAAACATTCCGGCATTGTTACTCAGTGCTACCAAAAGACTCTGAATTTCATCAGCGTCTTCACCAAACAGGACTATGTCATCTGCGTATTCTAAGTCAATAAGTGGACCTCCTGGTAGGAGATCAATGCCCGAGAATTCAGTCGATGAGAGCGTTATTTCCGTTAGTAGATCTATGATAAAGTTAAACAAAAAAGGAGAAAGTGGACAGCCTTGACGGACGCCACTTGAGGTTCCGAAAGCGGATGACAGTTCGCTATAAGCTCTCACTCGACTAGTAGTGTTCGAGTAAAGAGCTTTCACAAGGTTTATGTACTTCTGAGGTACGCCTTTCAATGACAGACACTGCCACAGAACCTATCGGTCCACAGAGTCAAGCGCTGCTTTTAAGTCAAGGAAGACCACCATTGTCGAACGCCGATAAGTATGCCTGTGTTCTAGAACCTGACGAATGGTGAATGTGTTGTCGATGCAGTCACGACCAGGTCTAAAGCCAGCTTGATTCTCCTGTGTTTGCAGTTCGCGAGTCTTAGCTAGGCGCCCAATAATTATCGAGGCTAGTATTTTAGATACTATATTAGTCAAACTAATCTCTCTATGGTTGTCACAGGATGATTTTGACCCTTTCTTAAATATTGGGACGATAAGTGATTGTGACCAGTCAGATGGGATAACACTCAACTTCCAGATTTTAGCCGAAATATTAGTCAACCTAGTCGCTAAAACTAGACCACCATCCTTAAAGACCTCTGGGGCCAATCCATCTGGACCAACTGCCCTTCCGCGTTTTAGATTAACTATAGCCTTTTGAACTTCAGCTAAAGTTGGAGGACCTACTTCAATATTCCATTCACACTGTCTGGGAATGGTGGGTAGTTTTAGAATAGCTGAAGGCCAGCTGAACTGTTCTCTAAAATGTTCCTCGCACCGTTCTAAATGTCTGGGCTAGGAGCAGGTGAAAGTGCCGTCTTTTTCCGAGATAGTCTCACTTACACTTGATTTTTTAATTCCAGTTTCTTTTATGAGTCTGAAGAGTTGTCTGGTGTTACCTATAACCGCTACCTTTTACATCTCTTTTGCTTTCGTTGCCCACCATTGCTCACGGTCGTTCCTTAGACTTTTGGTTAATCTGGATCTGATTTCTTTACGTTCTTCATCGTGTTCAGAGCCTGATGGGATGAGTTTGCGAGAATGCATCAGTGCAATAGACCTTGAAGAAATCCATTGGTTCTTTTGAACCCTTCGGTTTAAATCACAAATAGATGTCACAGCTGTTTCTGCAGCTGATTGTATATCTTTCCAAGCAACATCTGAGTCAGCCTCGTTTTCAGAACTACGTAAGTGTGACCCCAGTTGTTCCTGGAAGCTACTTTTGTTTTTCTCGTTACTCAGTTCAGTCCTAATGGGTCTTTTTAATGTGGCTTTTTTTGCGTCCAGTGAGGCGCAAGCAGATGTGTGCTCGTATTAGTGCGTGGTCGGAGTCCAAACAGGTACTCCAGAATGAGCGGCAATCTTCTATCGACCCTCTCTAACAATGACTGATGACAATATGGTCTATTTGAGTCCATCGTTAGTTTGGTGCAGGGGGTCGCCATGTTAGACGATGTCTCTCCTTATGCTTAAAATTTGTGTTTGCTAAAAATAAACGATTGTCTGAGCACAGTTGCAGCAGACAATCACCATTATCTGTTCGCTGTGCCGGAATACTGAAATACCATCTCAAATGTCTTTCTGCTTGGTTTAACCTACCTACTTGGGCATTAAAGTCACCTGCTACGAGTACTATGTCTGAACGTTTAGCTTTCTGAAGAAGTTCAAACAGCTTTCTGTAAAATTCATCTTTCACTTCATCCGAACTGCAGTCAGTGGGAGCGTAGGCAGAAACGACGAAAAGGCAACGACGTGTGTCCCTATCCTTTCGAGTTCTTACGGAGCCATTTAGCCGAACAGCGCATAGACGACTGTTAACGGGGATCCACTCTAATAGTGCTTGTTCCGCCCTCATGCTTAGAGCTATGCCTACACCCGCCAGTCCACGAGAACTAGCCATCGGGTCGCCAGATACACGGAGGGTGTATCTCGTCGGCTCTCCGTTTAGCCGAGGTGAGGTCAAGTGAATGACCACACTAGGATCCTGTATGCGTGTTTCAGAGACACAGCATACATCAATGGTATGAGATTCTAGGGTTTCAGCTAAGGAAGCCTGCTGACCGATTTGGCATAGTGTGCGTACGTTGAAGGCTCCAATGTGTAGTTTGGAGCGAGGTTTCAGTAGACCTGGGACAGTGTTTTGCGCGCTAGAATCGTTGGCTATGGTGACACTTAAGGAGAAAGCCAAAAGAGGAAGTTTAGATTTGAAAATCGATGTAGGAGGAATAATAGGAATTGAAGAGGGAGGTTGATTATGAATACAGTGGTCTTGAGTGCTGTTAGAGGTATGAGGGCGGTTATCACTTCCCGGTCGCCCACACTGTGGAAGGGTTCTTCTGGAGGTAGCTGAAATGGAAATTGGGTTAGAGGTGGTCATAGTGACCTAAGAGCCTGACCGCAGTGCCCAAGGGACAGCTGCTTGAGGTCGGTCACGCACGACCTTTTTATGAGTAGTTTTTGTGTTAGCTCCGTACTTATTGAGACCTTACCATCGGAGACGGATACCCGTGGGATAAGGCGAGGTGTGCATGTTTATGGTCGACCTTTTCTTACCCCACCCCTCCTTTTGGGAAGACAGCATCGCTGTTAAGCTGGTTGTCTGAAGGAAACACCTTACTGCTGTCACACCTCTGTACAGTCAGCAGTACGATTTCGCCTTCGGACCTTGAATTTGTTGCTTTTAGTCTTACCGCTCTTCAACCGACCTGTCTGGCATGGTAGGACCTTGAGGAACGGTTGTTCCAGCCAGTATAGCTCAGTTGCTTCATCACGATAGGCAATCCCGACCACCACGTCAAGGTAGCAACAACGGTCGGGATTAAAATTTGATGACTATCTAGGGCTAATATATTGCAGTTTATATAACCAATTGGAATTATTACCGATGTTTGCCAAGCAGAAAAATTGCCAGTTTAATATCCAAGGCTTGTAACTGACCCAATTTGCACTGGAAATCAAGCTCTTCATGTCATAAACAAATAAAACCTGTACGATCGACTTCATTTATATTCTACAAATGCGACGATTCGGTGTAATTTACTAAAAATTTTTGTAGCTTTTTCAAACAGCCAAGACGATCAATTTGAGATATAACCAATATATAAGATTAGAACTTTTAATAACGTAGAGATAACATCAATTTTCTCACCATAAAGCGATTGTATAACTGTTGTCTAGTTGTTTCGAGACCACCGACATCAGCCCAAGTCACATCTGGAATAGTTACAAATTCAGCAGTATTTTTAACTGCTGGAACGACAACAACCAACGCCTTGTCAACGATTTCTCGTGTTACGATTAAAGGATATGTGACTGGTTCCTAAAAAGAATGCAAACGAATTGAAGTTCTATACAAAATATAACTTGTCTGAAAAATTCGAATTTATAATTCTTGACTTTTTCTACGGAAATTATTTATTAAAAACAAGATACACTATTAGCAACTAGAGTATCGCAAGTCTAGCTAACCTGAAAATTTTGTTGAAAATAGAGTAGCACTCGTGATAATAAGTGACTAGCTTATTAACATAACCGTGTTACAAATGCTTGGGATAAAACATGTACAAACTACTCAAGCATTTTTACAGCCAAACAATATTTTCTTTGAATTACCACGGAAAGCGAACACAATAACAGCCTATGGATTAAAAGCAAACACAAGTCCAAAACTGATTACTTAAGTATCCTACGAATGCTACTCTTGTCGTACTCAGTAATATTTTAGTGAACGGAGACTTGGAGGCGTGAAACCATTTTATTGTTCTATGAAAAATTATACACTAAATACATTATTTGCATATCGTTCTTCAGTTGCCTGTTGTTATTCCGATTGCTCTATTTTCTTTTCTCTTCTCTTTGTTTCAATCTTCTGTTGGTGAACGTTCCACTTCCAATTTCTGCTACATACTACTTATGTCTGTCCGCATATGTAGTGCAGACCACCCCATGAGATGCACTAAGAAACCAAGTTCAATGTAGTTGGGTTACTAACAGGAATCAGAAACTTATTTAGATGCACACAGAATCTTATAACTAATAATACGAAAAACAAACATGAATTCAAGCATCAGATACTCTAAAATGAACAATAATCTCATACTATTAAGAACATCTCCAGCAAAAGTCAGTTCGTATGTAAGACCATTTTTAATACCTTATATTTGCAAACTCCTGTTGCATCCTTGACATCTATGCAATTTGTATTGTAAAATGTATACAAAATAGTTCAATTTTGAGTACCTCTTAATAAGTGAAGAATTTCAGTATGTCTGCTTGGTGAAACAAAACGAAGCTAGTCCCATTATAGATCACTGGTTCTGAATAAATTGTAGAAAGTGTATTAAACATAAGTTCGGGCATAGAGTTATGACACTTGGTCAATGTAAAAAAAATGATATCCAGTTACTTACGACCAAGTATCTCAGTGAATTAACGATACCAAATACATTATAAATAAATGTTACATTATGTATCTAGTAAACTATATTTTATGAACAGGCATCAGAAGTGACCCAGAGAGTTAATAAATTATCTCCTAATGCAGTATGAGTGTACACTTAAGATGAACTGTAAATTTACCAAGGGTTGTATAAGAGTAATAGAGAATGGTATTAATACGCAGTAAACCGAGCGTTGTTGTTGACTAACTACAGAAAACCACAGCTACAAAAAATCTAAGAAGAGCTACTTATTAATTGCACCTTTCCATAAAAACAACCCAATTAAAACAAATGACATACATGAGGAAACATACCGAGACAGAGTTATCAGCGACACGCGACTCAACGGAGAAATTAACATGCACCTTTTGACCATTCTTAACACATCCCATACTGTTAGTATCAAGATTATTCAAGTTGTCATCATCATCGTTCGCATCATTAAGTTTACTTGTTAAACAAGCCATTTTTAACTGAGCTACCAGACGAATTAAATCTCCGATTTCATAACCAGGTGTTCGACGGGCTAGTTCAAGACATGTTAAGTTTTCACTGAGTTGTAGTTGATGGGAATTAGAACTTACTGGTTTCGATGAAATAATAAAATCAGTATCATCTAACAAGTACTGTTGCAACAATCTAATATGACAGAAGCAAAAGTGGACAACATATTATGAATGGATTGGAACCAAAACGATGATGAGAAAGCACTGCCAGTCGACACTGGCATTTAAAAAAGTCTTGGGACATGGCTTTTTAGAGGAGCTACTTGTCTTGGTTTAGGCTTCTATGCAGCAATCTAACCCACACGCAATATTTTGTGTGGCGCATATTATTTTTTAACTCCGCGTGTGGCTCATTTAGGGCTACTGCTGATCCCAAGCCAACACAAAAGAGCAGGGTTGGGCGTGGGGTCGGCAACCCCATCCCGTAGAAAAAATCTTGCTAAAAAACGCAAACCAGAATAAACAAATTACACTATTTAAACTCTGCCCTCCAAGTTGGAAGAAGAATGATGATGCCTCAAGATTCCGAAGTCACGAGGCCTATGCCCATTCTAACAACCACAGCAACAAGTCTAATAGGTAAATGGAACGTCCGGACAATGTGGGAGACTGGGAGGACCAGTCAAATATTAACGAAAATGAGGATATACAACTCGGATCTCGGAAGTGCCCACAGATTGGAAAGAAGGATATCCCATTGCGATAACAAAAAAGGAGATCTGAACAAATGTGAAAACTACAGAGTCATCACAATATTATCAATATCAGGAAGGGTTTTCAACGGTGTTGCTGAACCGGATGAAAGATTCGGTAGACGCCCAACTTCGAGATCAACATGTTCGATTCCTCAAGAATCGATCGTGTACAGACCAAAATGCGACACTATGGATCATTGCTGAACAGTGTGTCTGTATGAATGCGTCAATATTGGAAAACTATTCTATAGGACTGGGACTTAGTTATAATAGAACACATAAACTCTTTCTTCACAAATTAAGGGATACATCAATGAGTGGTTGAATGATATAATGTGTAATGTTAACTTTCAATTTAAACATCTACCATAAATGTATTCTATCAAATGAAACAGTTACCGGAACGTGACTGACTTCTTTTTATCAAACTTTAAAATCATAGCATAAGCTGATGAATATCGCTAATTAGTCAAGTTATTAAACAATACGGCAAACTAGAAAAAAATGATAGACATTTGGCAGGAGTATAATATAGATATTTCTCAAAGTGATCAAACAGTGGCAGAGTGAAAAATAGACCCAAACAAACAATAGTTAACTGAGAAACCACTTTTATACAACAATTTTATTTTTATGAAATTTTAAGAGGCGAATTTCGTGAGGACCCGTGAACAGGTTGTGCAGCGCTGCGCCCAATCCATCTATGGAAATTTAGAAAGTTCCACAGACAAAAAACCTGAAGTTACTGCTACTAGATAATATGTAGCACTTAACAAGGCACCAGTTTGAGGATGATGATAGTGAACACAGTTTATTAAGCAAGAGATGTTTAAGATGTGACACAACCATCAGTTGAAAAGGATACGTTATCTGTAGAGATAGATATTTTTGTCGACTAAACAACTATAAAGCTTAATTTTAAACCAGTAAACTTACCTCAAACGATGAGCCTCATTTAACATTCCAAATGTCAACTTCTGTGTAAACAAATCTAATATACTTTGAGGTAGGCTGGCAAGAAGAGATCGAGTTTCCCCAATAAGTACAACACCCGAGTTGACCATATCTGAAATCATTAAAAATGTCACACATGCATTAAATCGAAGGCAAAATAGATTCCTGTATAATATCATGTAATATATGAAAACAATGACAACAACAAGTAATGTAACGTGACAACGATATAGCGAGATGCGTGTGGCTTTTAAAAAGTGAAACGAAAATCATATGATGGCAAAAATTGACATTAAACCTGGTTTCGAACCAAGCAGTTGACATTCCAGCCTCTAGAATACCACACCATAGGACTACATGAATTATAGATCAGTGGTAATGCCACGAGTTTATGAATAACCCAAGTAACCGTGTTATTTCATTGTTTACATGACAATTAGTTTTCTGACTGCGTAGATTACAGTCGGCTGTTCCATGAGAAGAATTTCTGACCACTTGCTGTGTGCATCGACTAGCAAAAGGTAAGTTTTTCCATGGAGTGAACCAGCGAAGTCTAAGTGCATACGCGGCCACGGTGACTGTAGTATTGGCCATGATTGCAGATCTGTATTCTGCGGTGTTTTTGTTGCTAATGCGCATCTGTTTCATGAACGGGATAGCGACTATAGTTGAGTGTCTAAATGCGGCCGATAAACATAACTTTGTTCTACGCTCTTAAGAGATTTATTCCAGGGTGTCCTGCATGCAGTTGTCCAAGCACTGCTGGTTGCACATTCTTGGGGACTATAACACGCTTTTTAAATAGAAGAAACTCAACGATGATTGACGTAATCTGAGCCGGTAGCACCTTTGGGGTTCCGTGGAGCTGATCTTTGAGGGCCATCCTTCTAGGCAAAACTTTTTAACTTGCAGCACTGGGTCGCGAAGAATTTCTTCCTTGACTTTATCAGATGACACTGGAGTGTTTCGAATGGTATCTGATACTACACACTTTACTTCTGAATCTACATATATAAAGGCAATGATTATATCCTTTGGTTGAGGTTGTTGAGCGCCGATGAACAGTGAGAGAACATGAGACTGACCGATGGTATTTGTCTCGACGGTAGCCGCTACCTTGATGTGGTGCTCAGGCTAGCTTATTGTGACGACTCAATCGAGTTATATTGGCCGAAACATATGCTCCTTTAGGTCCTACCATGCCAAATAGGTCGGTTGGAGAAAGTTAAGACTAAACTACTGGACGTAGAGAAGCCACAGCAAGAAAACCCCATAAAGCTTAATTCAATGGTGAAAACGTTAGGAATATATTTCACGAACAGCTACATAATGGAATTACTAAACCTTGAAAGTGATGTTCACCTCAAGGTAACTTGGCATGATATCCAAAAAGCTGTGGAAACAGCAGTGATGTCTACAAGTAACTTGAACCTAAGTGTTAGGAAAAATCAGTGAATGTCATCGGGCTCTGCTGAACTGATAAATGCTCAGAAACTCATCCCATCTGGCTCTGAACACGATGAGGAGCAGAGGCAGCTTAAACGTAGACTAACAAAAAGCCCACGTAATGATCGTGAGCAGTAGTGGGTAGCGAAAGCAGAGGAGATGGAAAAGGTAGCAATGATAAGCAACAGTAAAAAACTGTTCAGACTTATCAAGAAGACGGGAATTGAAAATCCGGTTGCTAGTGAAATTACCTAGAAAAAAGACGGGGCTATTATTCACTCTCTATCCAGGATATTGCACCGATAGACAGAAAACCTTAGGAAACAATTCAACTGGCCTTCAGCCATACTACAGTTACCCACTATCTCGAAGAAACCTGAATGGCAAATCGATGAAAGACCCCAAACTCTTCGCGAGATTAGAAAGGCCATAAGTAATGTAGAGCAAAGGACAGTAGCAGCGTTGATGAACCAAGCTTTGAGATTTTTAAGGATGGTGGTCCAGTTTTTGAAGTTATTTATTTATTTATTTAACACATAGGTATTGGTACAAGGAGGCACCAAGTACATATGCGCCACACAAATCAAAATTGATTTGTGTGAGGGCTGTGATACTGCTCGGGTGCCCAAACCGAAGCAGGTGGTTTTCTTAGGGGGCCACACCCCCTTAACTGAGATCTTAGTTAAACTCTGGGAACTGGACATGATCCTATCTGATTGGTTTCGATCGCTGATCGTCCCAGTTTATAGGAAAGTACAAAACTCCTCTTGTGACAATCACAGAGGAATCAATTTAACTAATATTGTGTCTAAGATTTTATCTTCAATAATACTTCGACGTCTAACTAGGGCTCATGAAAAGCAACCTAACAGCAGTGTTCAGCTCCGTTAATCGTGAGGTTCTGTGCCAGTAAATACACTGATAGGCGTACCAACGAAGTACATTGATCTTGAACAGGCTCTCTACTCGAACGCTAGGCGAGTAGAGGCATCAGACAAACTGTCGTCGGAATTAATTCACCCTCTCCATTTTTATTTAACTGTCATAGAAATGCCTATAGAGATAACACTTTCATCATCTGACTTATCAAAGATTGATCTTCTACCAACAGATTCACTTGTTGACTTAGAATACGCAGATGATGTAGTTATGTTTGTTGAAGACGCAGACAAAATTCAGTCTCTTGACCAACTTAAGCAACAATGCAAGCATGTTTGCGATGCGGTTGTCTCCCTGCAAATGTAAAATGTTACTTCAGGGTTGACTTACCAGCTTATGTCACTTATGTAGTATGTCAGATATCTGTCTACCATCCAAAGGAAGTTTGCTGCGCAGCAGTCCCTTCTACTTCATCGGTGTGGAACATGGTCGTTGAAAATGGGTGATCTTCGAAGATTCTTTGAAGCATTGTTCATGTATTTTGGGAGCACGGAGTAGGTGATCCCTGTGTTAGCAAAAGGGTTCTAATCAAATGGCTCAAAATCGTTTGCAATCGCACAGGTGTATTCATACTTTGTCTACCCCAAATCCTGAGATTTTAAATTTTTCATAACCATTTTTGTTCTTGTTTCGTTAACTTATATTTTCTTTCCGAGTTGCATCTTCGATACCTAATATTTTCTATTACCGACGATACTGTTGATACTTCTGGTGCTCTGGAATTTGGCCTGATAACTTCATCTTTCTGTGATAATGAGTACAGCAACTGATGTATATACGTACAGGTTCTAAGTTGTGACTGACTGACTGGTATTTGTTAACCGATACTTTATGTTAAAGTCATAGCTCAGGAGCATTATCGCCCAGTGCAGCGATCTGCTAGTCGTATAGACAAGAATTCCTTTCTTACAGACAAAGTTGAAATTAAAGGTTTGTGATCCGCCAGTACAGTAAACGTACAGCCGCAGTGTTTTACTGAATCTGTTAATACCGGATATGATTGTAAGGGCTTCCTTTTCAATTTGGCTTTAGTTCCATTCGGCTGGGGTGAGTGATCTAGCAGCATGAACAATTGTTTTATCTGATTTGTCTGGAAACACGTGAGATATCACTACCCCAACTCCACGACTAGAAGTACCAGATGCAACAGTAGTTTCCAAGCTGAGGTTGATGTGTTTCTTCATGTAGTCGGGGTCCATACCCGATTACTCGGTTAAGAACTTGGTGCAGTCGATTTGAAAGTTCACTGTCAGTTAGACCCATAACAGTGTCACTTAGATAAGCTGCTGTTCCAGGTATACCTGTTTACATGGTATTCATTATTTGCTGAAAGATGGTAGGTGCGGTCTTCATACCAAATTGTAGGCGGGTATATTGAAATAGCCCACGATGATTGTTGATAATCAAAAGCTCTCTACAATCATCATTTACTTCTCCTTTCAGACAGGCGTCAAAAAGTCTATTTTCGAGAAACATGTTCCACCATTTATGCTTAACAAACGGGTCATCAGGAACTGGTAACGAATACTGACATACATCCACTACAGTGTTTAAACTGGTTGGGAAGTCGGCACATGTTTATAGCTTGATTGTCCTTCTTAAGCACTACGATCGCTGCGGTCCATGAACAATGGTTGACTGGTTGGATTATACCAGCTTGCTGTAAACGTTTACGTTCCTGATTGACCAGTTCAAGAACGGAATACAGTGCAGGACTTTTCGGGGAAAAAAGTAGGTTTGGCATCTGGTTTCACTGGTAACTGGACTTTTATTTTGGCGCAGTGATCAAGGCTGTTCTGGAGAAGAGAAAGAAATTTTCTCCTGAGCTTTCCTAGCAACCTCTTACCTCTTTTTGCAAATATTTGGATGTTTAATGATGGACACAACACGTTGCAGACACTATTAATACTTATCTTCAGACTTAACGACAACCCCAAAAGTGTGGACGTGGTGAACCATGTGACAAATGGCTAACATAGATAGGTTTAACGGCAGTGGAAACCTTATATACATGTAACTCATACTATTCAAGTGTCCGTTGGTCACTATGAACAATTAAAGGGTATGAATCAATATGAGGAATAACACAGTAGATTGATACCTTTAAGCAATTGACTTTTTAGAAGGCAGGTAAGACGGAACGTCCCAACAGGGGAAGAATGTTTCTCCATACTTTCAATATCATCCAAATGCAAAATACATGGTGAGGAATTCTAATCGGATTTCAATTAAGAAACCAAATGTACCTTAGCTTGGTTGAATATATCCATCCAAGGACGCATAGATGATGGTACTGTACCAACCGAAACAGTGATGATTTTTAAACCTAGAGTCTTCAATTATTCAAAAAGAAAACGCTTTGTGATTACTCCACATGCTGCTTCAATCAATGTAGTTTTGCCACAAAATGGAGGGCCATTAATTAACAAGGATGGCCAAACCGGTAATCCTATATCGGAAAGTAGGTGGCATGCGAGAAAGCCTTTTATTTGCCTCTAAAACATTTGTAGCAAAATATGAATTACTTACTCGTAAATCCGCTGGGACTGTATGCCTGATATCCGATAACGTGGAAGAAACACATCGAGCAGAGATAGATTCAGCTAAATGTAGGAGTCAAATCTATACATATATTTACTTGTTGATTCCAAGTTCGTCCTGGAACGTTTACGTGGGAGCTTTTTGTCTAAATTTACTGACATATCTACTTTAGGAAACTCAGATTCGTCAACCATGATAGGTGAGTCTTTTGGAACAGGACTGACCATCGTACGAGTATTCACCAGTCTTAATGCTAAACAAGATAAAAAAGCATAAACGTATACCTTTGCAAGCATCTTTGCGCCATAACTTCATATTAGATCTGTTACAACTTGTTGACTTGTCTCGAATTATGTAGTCTGAAAACTCATCCACAGATGAAGAGTCAACAGAAATCTTTACAAACTACAGGAGAATAAACCAGGATTTCCCAAAACAAACCTGTTCAGCAAGCGGGATTAGATACGCCCGCTGAATTTGTGGAGAACCATATCCACATCCTGTATCATTCATAATGTAGGCTATATATAAACAATAAGAATTTTAATATCCCAATACAGAAAACAACGACTTATTGATTACTCGAAATGGAACCCAAAACAACAAAATAAAAACGCTTAACAACTGCTAGTGATTTGTTTTTGCTAAATAATTTCATCAAAATCCTAGTAGCTAATATTTTGAAACCATGGTGACATACACTTAACACAGCTTAAAAACCAAAAAACATTTCGTCAAGAAGCTTCGATATCATGGAAGCTTGACAGCCAAAAACTACATCACATTTTGTTTACTTAGAGGATAAAAATATTTTTCATCACCCATCTGGACGACGGTGCCGCTAAATGCAATAGTATGAAGAAATTGAAAGGTTTATGATATAACACAATCCAAGTTCACAATGATTTGTTTTAAATCTATACGGAAACGATTGGATGGCTTCCACGTATATCAGTAATATATCAAAATGTGATAAACCGAAGTTTTAGCAATTCGCAGGATGTGGTCTGCTAGGTCATAAGACTATTAGTGAACATACTGCAGTCAGTTGACATAAAACCGATATTTGGTTGAAATATATTCTTCACAACTTGAAATCTTACTTTAGTAAATTCTTAATCGGTGAGACTATACTCTATGAACGACATTTGAGCTACACTAAAGTGGCCCTGAGAATGTCCATCTACAAACTCGGGATAATTAAGGGTTATAAACCTTTGGGAAGAACGAGAATTATGGTTTACAGGTGATTGTTAGGGTTAAAATACGCTATTTAGCCTAATAGATAAAAAAATTCCACGACGAAATCCAAGAACTGTTATCATAGATGTGACTGGTTCGTCCAATACTTATAGTCTCCCCGTCTCGGATTTTGAAGAGAAACCGATTCGAATATATAATTAAATAGCATTTCGCATTATAGTTGGTTTGGCTCTGATGAAAACACTCAAATAAGTACCTAACCCCGCATTCTAACTCTAAATCCTCATCGTAATTCATCATACTAATTTTAACTCTCCTAATACCTTAATAAAAAATTGAGTAGACTCAAGGTCCCCGTCTACCAACGAAAGGACGAGTTTGATGTGAGTAGTTCGTTACGTTCTACTTTATGCAAGTGAAACGGTCGGTAACAGTGAAGGATATTCGTAGGTTACTAGTATTCGATCATAGGTGTGTTTGGAACATTGCTCGTATATCCTGATACCATCAAGCCCCCGAATGCCCTGGTACGGCCGAGAGTGGGAAGAGTCCGCTCTCCCTCTCGAAATGCTCTCACGTGGCCACGAGTATTTAGCCTCTGTCAGGGAAGTCCTACTCATTGCCCTCTCGTGGCAAGGGTGTTGTTTACGAAAATGAGAGGAAGAAAAGCGAATGTCCAGCGCTTTAACCGGATCCCCAACCAATGGTGCACATGGGCTCCAGTATCCTGAAGGAACAAATGGCGTATGAACCAGTCGTTGGTCACCGGCTACCATGGGACTGCATCTCCTTACGATGCTCCACTGCCTTGTGGATCAGATTTTCAGGTCGAAGGCTCCGGGTGTGGCCCCCTAAGAAAACCACGTACTTCAGTTTGGGCACCCGGGCAGTATCGCAGCCCTCACATATATCAAATGAGATCTGTGTGGAGCATATGTATTCGGTTTCTCCTTGTACCAATATGTGTCAAAATAAAATAAATAATAATAAATAAAGCTTCAATTGATTTGCCATCCTCATCTAGTACCCGTTTTCTAACAACTGCATTACTTACTCGGTTTATGACCTACAATGCAGTGGAGCATCGTAAGGAGATGCAATCCCATGGTAGTCGGTGACCCACGACTGGTTCATACGCCATTTGTTCCTTCAGGATACTGGAGCCCATGTGCACCATTGGTTGGGGATCCGGTTAAAGCGCTGGACATTCGCTTTTCGTCCTCTCATTTTTGTAAACAACACCCCCGCCACGAGAAGGCAGTGAGTAGGACTTCCCTGGCAGAGGCTATATACGCGTGGCCATGTGAGAGCATTTCGAGAGGGAGAGCAGACTCTTCCCACTCTCGACCGTACCAGGGCACGTTCTTACTGACTAAGGGCATTTGGGGGCGTCAATTGAAGTAGTGAAACTTCATTAGTTGGGATGGCTGGGACACGTGTTTTATTTTATTTTATTTTATTTTAACACATAAGTATAGGTACAGGGAGGCACCAAATACATATGCGCCACACAAATCTCAATTGATTTGTGTGAGGGCTGTGATACTGCTCGGGTGCCCAAACCGAAGCAGGTGGTTTTCTTAGGGGACCACACCCCGAGCCTTTGACCTGAACGTCTGACCCACAAGGCAGTGGAGCATCGTGAGGAGATGCAGTCCCATGGTAGCCGGTGACCAACGATTGGTTCATACGCCATTTGTTCCCGCAGGATACTGGAGCCCATGTGCACCATTGGGGGGCCCATGTGCACCATTGGGGGACACGTGTTACGTATGCCCAACCACTGACTGCCCCAACGTACGATGTTTTTTGGTGTAGGAGTAGGATGGAAGAAAGCTGTAGGCGGCCGGACCAAAACATGGCACAAATCCATGAAGTCACTGATAAGTGGACTGAGCCATGTTGTTAGGTGTAGACTACCTGGTTGGGATCCGCGAGATGATAACAATAGATGGTTAGAGACCTTAAGTGACATGGCTCAAAGTCGTTTGCAGTGACTCAGGTGCATCAACTCTTTGTGTCCACCCAGATTCTTCTGAATTCTTCATGTCACTTTCTTTTTTTCTCTTTCCAAATTCATTTTACTGGATTATACTCCATGACTAACATCTTCAAGCCCTAATCTTCCCGATTACTGCTTATACTTTTACTACCTAAACCACTACAGGGTTCGAATCGAAAAATGCATCTCTTTGCTAATGTGGTATGGTAACTCGAAATGACCTATGTACGTACGAAGTTCTACGTTGATACTGACAGACTGAAACTACTTACGGTATGTAACTTGTGAACACACACCGAACATTTAACTAGGGTTTTATCTTAACAATAATCTCAGGAAGTCGTAAGTTCCACATGTTTCTTTAAAATTAAAGCCTACTTAGGACGAAGGCCACAATGTAAACTCGTTGCGAGTAGAACGATAACTGAAACAAAAAATTTAACTGGAAGAATGAACCAAACAATAGTGCACCATTAAAAACCCGGAAGCACTGTATGGACAGTCCGTAGTACTACGGGACGAGACAGCAATCTCCACAATCTTACATCGATCTGTACAGGGTTGCCAATAATGATGATTTGACTATCAGAATAATTACTGCGAGCGGTAAGAAAAGATTGTGATGAAGAAACAACAAAAAAACATAAATATTCGATACCATAAAAAATTTTAATTTACTTTAAGATCTAACTTTAAGCAAATTCACCAATCCATTATTCATAGTGTACACAAACGTGACAACTAACCTTCAAATCATGAAAGCGTCGAAGGTCATTCAAACCCCAATCATCAGTCCGAATATGTAAAAGTAAAATTTAATCCTTGTCCGTGCGTTATAAAAAATTATAATTTGGGCTACACTATTTCATAAACCGATTCCCTAATCAATCAGCCGCAACCGCAATGCTCGATCAGTTTCTAAAGGGACACCAAACCTGCAGAATGGACATAAATTAAAGGGTTCGGGAGTTTTTATCCGAAAGGACTTGCCGTTGACAGACCGTGTAAAAAGACGGAAAGCCGAGAAAGAACTGCAAATGAGGTTAGACGCTGGCGAAAAGGACCTGAAAATTGTAAATTTTCTGGTTGTGAGGCTTCGTCAGAGAATGATGGCAAAGCCACTCCGGGTGAAACACGAAGCCACTTAAATAGGCTACGGATCTGTTACACTAATGCCCGAAGCTTGCTCAATAAGCTATCGGAACTAGGTGAATAGATTGACTCGACAAAGCCAGACATAATTGCAGTCACAGAAACCTGGCTGACACAGTCTATAGATAATATGAAACTCGATTTTGAGGGTTTTACTTTAGTAAGGACCGACAGAATACATAAGCGTAAAAGAGGGGGAGTAGTTCTATTCATTAGGAATGCTATCCCGTTTGTCATTATTGTTAGTTTATCCCATGAAAGTGGGACGTGTGAATTGGTTAGTTGCCGCCTGCTTATTGGTTTAGTCTATCGCAGTCCAAGCTGTGAGGTATTTGATGTCCTGTTAAACAGGCTCAAAAATTGGTCGCGAAGTGATCGATATCTAATCCTAGGGGACTTTAATGCACCTATGGTAGACTGGGGAAATCTGCGAACCGAATCATCAGATAATTCCTTCGAGCAGGAACTAGTTGATGCGGTTATTACATGTGCCCTAGTGCAACATGTGAAAGAAGCGACTAGGTACGACCCGGACACTGAATCATCCTTACTAGATCTTATATTAACTCACTATGAGGATGACGTTTCGAACCTCCTTTACATGCCACCCCTAGGCAAAAGTGATCATGCGGTTTTAACTTTTGGCTTCCATATAACTGTCAATCACGAGCAAACGTCAACTCAATCCAGACCTAACGTCTGGAAAGCAAGCATACCAGATATCATGCACTCGGCATCATTAGTAGATTGGACAATAGACCCAGAGTCCTCAATTGAAACGGCTTGGGATGCATTCCGAAATTTATACTTAAAAGTTACCGCACCCCACATTCCTTGGACTATACCAAGGGGGACGAGAGACTCTTCACCTTGGTTCAATAGGGAGGTCCGCATCCTTCTCCGTAAGAGAAGAAAAATGTGGGATAGATTTAGGTTACTGGGGATTGATGAGACAAAGTCTCAGTACCGAAAAGCTAGGAATACCTGTGCCTCGACCCTCCGTAAGTCTAGAAAGCTGTACGAAGAAAAAATTGTTAAGGAATCCACAGAATGTTCTAAACGCCTGTATTCCTATATAAACCAAAGGACAAAAAGAAGAGGAATTATTTCTGCACTATGGGGAGACAGTACTGCCGCATCATTAGTGGAAGATGACTTTGGTAAGGCTCAAGTGTTCTCAAACTACTTTAGCAATGTATATACCATAGAAGCACCCTTCCCGTCAGCGCATACAAACCATCCACACATACACTGGATAGCGTGACCATAAATGAACTCGATGTCTTTGATCTGCTAAATAAGCTTGACATAGGTAAATCCATGGGTCCCGATGAATTGCATCCTAGGCTTCTAAAGGAATTATCTAACTTCGTTGCGAACCCTTTAAGTATATGCTTTAAGCTATCCGTTACGCAGGGTCGTTTACCAAAAGACTGGAAGAACGCCATAGTATGTCCTGTCTTCAAAACAGGTACGAAACATAAACCTGAGAATTACCGACCCGTTAGCCTAACTAGTGTGGTTGTTAAAATCTTAGAAAAGATTATTCGGAAAGAGCTGTTTAAATACCTCGATGTAAACCGAATCCTCTCGGAGAAACAGCACGGTTTCAGAATAGGTTATTCTTGTCTCACTAACTTATTAGTCACTCGAGAAAGCTGGTGCGCTTTTAAGGACCAAAAGTTACCTGTAGACGTGGCTTACATTGATTTCAGCAAAGCTTTTGACAAGGTTCCGCACAACCGGCTGTTATATAGGCTAAAAAATGTCGGAATTGGAGGCAATCTATTGACGTGGATAGAAGACTTCCTTGTTGGGCGCCAACAAAGAGTACGGGTAAACTCAAAATTATCTAGCTGGGAAACTGTGCTTAGTGGAGTGCCCTAGGGTACAGTTTTGGGGCCAGTGCTATTCCTCTTGTATGTAAATGACCTTCCTCGCTTACTATCATCATCGGTCTTGCTATATGCTGACGATGCCAATATATGGAGAACGATACGATGTAAGGGTGATAGCTTAGAACTCCAAAATGACCTGAAGAAATTATCCGAATGGTCTCATACATGGCAGCTGCCGATAAATACTTCCAAGTGTGTTGTGATGCATATCGGTCATCAAGGTTCAGATACATACACGATGAATAACACTGAGCTACCTGTTGTCCAGACACATAATGACTTAGGAGGCATCGTTAGCCAAGATCTGAAGACTACTGCACACTGCCGTGCAATAGCCGCCAAAGCTTTTAGAACTTTATGGTCAGTACGTAGGGCTTTTACTCATGTCGTCGCTTAAACGTTTTTGACTTTGTATACAGTGTTCGTACGTCCTAAACTTGAGTACTGCATACAAGCGGCTAGCCCCTGCTTAAAAAAAAGACAGTGAGCTTTTGGAAAAGGTCCAGAGAACAGCAACTAAGCTGATTCCCGTAATAGCGAAGCTTCCGTATGATGCTCGACTGGCCAAGCTAAACCTATTCCCTTTGTCATATCGTAGAACTAGAGGCGACTTGATTACAGTTTTCAAATTGCTTAGTGATAAATTTGCACCTGATATGCCCTCATTTTTCCTGTCTTCCAAAACAGAGAATTTAAGAGGACACTCCGAAAAAGTTCACAAGCCCAGAACAAATTACTTGTCAGCTGATTATCGACTTTCCCACCGAATCATCAACGAGTGGGATTCATTACCTCAACACGTGGTTGAAGCTCCATCCGTAGATTCTTTCAAAAGAAAGTTGGATCAACTGAGAGAACACAATTGCCAGGACTAACACAGGCCATCAAGCCTCCTGTCCTTTCCAAACTGAAACTGAATTAAACATGGAGCGATCGAGAGGATAATAATTGCAATAATATTGAACTCCGAAGATGAAAGATATTAGCTAACAATGTTATCAGATATTTCAGTAGTGATTAAATCCTATTGCACTTGTATACTAGTCACTTTGAAAATTTATCTTACAATTAGACCACCCGTTTATTCTGATTAGCGTTTTTAGAAAGATTGTGTTCTACGACATGAGGTTACCAACCTCATGACCAAATCTCCTTCTTTACCCGAGCTTACAACTGGCAGTAGCCTTAGAAATGCTACAGGCAATTAGACTATACCAGTGGTCTATTGACTGTAAGGAATTCGATATTAAAAGCATCTAACCTTCAAGACAGTCCATGCCAATGCATCCGACTTACTAAGAAGCACCAGAAATACTCGTGCCCGGTCTTGTTCAGGTTTGATTCTCATATATTAGCTGGACAGTTGAAAGAATCTGAGCGGCTGATATGCGCACTTACGAAGTTTAGAAACGCTCGCATAGTCTCAGATAAGACCACCAATCAAAGACTTACGCAAAAGCGTACCGTGAACGAAAATAAAGATGTTGAGATCATAAAAAATCACGATGCATCAGCTGCTGGATCCACTGATGCTGATACCCTATCTCATGTTCTCCAGTACTCTGATCTGCCAACGAAGAGTGCTAACTTACCTATTATGCCTGTAGTGACATCTGATAACCAATGTACATCTACTGATTACACTAATCCGATAGTATCCAATTTACCATTAGAAGCCCATAAGCAAATACCTCTTAAAAGCACTGTCAAGATTAAAAAGTCTATGCCACGTAAGAAGAATGTTTGTACAGAACCTTCTGGTTCTGGCCCTACTAAATACAAATAAGACTATACTTCCCGACACCATGCTTTACCCAACGCATCGTAGGGGAGGATATAACGGCAGACCTGGTTCAAATGTCTCACAAGACGGCCACTTCAATCATTATGTAAGTAGGCCTAATACTGAACAGACCACAGTAAACCAACGAGCCTCACGTGTACCCTCAAACGTTTTAAATGATAAACCTGTAAGACGTAACCTCTCTCAACACTTTCCCATTAGACAAGATGGATTACTAGGTTACCCAACATCAAACGTTTTAAATAATATACCAGTAACACGTAACTTTTCTCAACACTTTTCTATTGGGCAAGATGGATTACTGGATTACTCACCATCAACCCAACCTTGTCTTAACTGTCCGCCTAGTCAAGTTCAACAAATTAATCCGCTTTATCAAAATAATGATTTTTTTCGGCCTTCAGAAATCCCTGGTCCCACTAGCACTACAATTCGCTCAAGCGATCGCCCATGTGATCAGTCAAACATAATAAACCATAGTCTATGCAAATACAAAATACACGACATCAATAGGGAAGCTCTCGCTTTTTTTACACTCCATACGCCCTTTCTAAATCTATTACTTATCAATGCACGTTCACTTCTGAACAAAATTTCAGCCTTGAGAACATTAGCCTTTCTATCCAAGCCTTCTTTCATACTTATCACTGAAACATGGTGCTCTCATGCAGTATCTGATTCAGAATTAAATATCCAAAACTACAGACAGAGAAACTAAGCGAGGACGTGGTTGTATTATATATGCTTTGGATACCCTAACAACTAATAGAGTTGAAGATATTGTCCTGAATAGTTTACCAGAATCAGTCTGGATATCTGTCAACACGCTGAATCATAGTCTACTCCTTGGATGTATATACAGAGCTCCTGAGAGCTCAAATAATGGGAATAATCTTATTATCAATGCATTCATACATGA